GTGCAAGCATCCTCAGTAACCCTCCTGCAGGACTAAGCCTATTAGCCCATGTTGGCAAGGACCATATGGTAATGAAAGGAAGGGTGTTTTAGTATGAAACGAGTTCACCTGATGAAGTTAGGATATCAGCTGAACTCTTTTCATACTAAAACACCCTTCCTTTCATTACCATATGGTCCTTGCCAACATGGGCTAATAGGCTTAGTCCTGCAGGAGGGTTACTGAGGATGCTTGCACTGCTCTAACGTTACAAAATAAACTTCATGCACTTTAACACTGAGGCTCTTTTCATGTGAAACAGCATTATAACTGTCTTTGCCTAGGGAAATTTGGGGCACAGTTTTATTATAAGCATTCTGATCGCATTTTAGCTAAAGGATTTTTAGCAGAAACATAACTGTTATGTTATGTTACCCCCGATAACCAGTTATTCTTACATCTGGCTGATAAAGTGCTTTGAATATGAGCTTTTTGTGGTGTTTTTACGGTTTTAGTTGGAGTATGAAGAAATGGGATCTGATTTCTGTCATGAGGACTATCTGGAAAAGGGGGTCCCTCACATTAGGAGCGGCCATAAAGCAGCAGGAGGCTTCCTCGACCTGAGCAAAATCTTCTTCTCTAACGAGGAATACTACAGCAAGCTGGAGGAGCTGAAAAAGGCCCACCTGCGCACCATGGCTGAGCTGGAAAGCATGTATCAACAAAAGCTGCAGCTCAAGTCCATGGAGCCCTTAGACATGGCAACGCTGGAGTTAGGATGCAGGTGGGTGACTTTTCTCAAGACTCCAACTGTATGATGACCGTCACAGGGTCTGATTCTCATGCTTATAATAGTACTTTAGATGGTTCCACATAAAACATCAAAACAGTTTATTGTTTTATTGGCTACTGCTGGTTTAATGGAATAGTTGAAAGAAAATGCAGAGAGTTTACTTTTTCACAAATTCCCTTTATGTCCTGATACAATATGTTATATTTTAAGGACATATTCCAGTTAGTTTTCCATCACATAGAAAACAAACTGACTCCAGATTACAGCGCCTTGCAGGAATATTTACACCCCATTAAATATTCAAGTTTTTTTCCCATTACAGCAGATTTTATCTGATGGATCAACATCTTGGAGTCTTTACGTTTAATGGATCAGAGCAAAAGCAATGGAAGAATATTCTGATGTGAAAAGAAAGAAATGTGGTTTATTTTTTTTAAAGAGATCA